TGTGCGTACAGAGCCTAATGAAACACCAGTCGCAGCAATAGTCTTGCATAATGAAAATGACCCAAAACTTCAACTTGAACGGCTTCCTCTAAAACTCTCCGATAACCAAGTTCTTATTTGCAACAGATCCAGTTTGAGTAAATTTAGTAACTAGGTCCAAAACATACCTATGCGAAGTTATCTTCCCCCAATGTCTGGAGTTAAACGTGACGGCAGTTTGCCGAGCACATTAATTTTGAGCACCATAAATTAGAACCATATCCACACTTTCGGCTAGTGTGTAAACCATTTTGGTAGTAAAATCTGAATCAATAAGTTAATTATCAGTATCAAAAGATTGCCAGAAAAGTAACTGACAGCAAATTGAATTCTTTCTTTCCCTCAGCAACAAATAACTAAACAGATATAATACAGTTCGCCCAGAATATCTGTGCCGATGAAAAGAATACGGAAAAAAATTCGGGTTGTTATCTAATCTTCAGAATTCCTGTTCATGTTGGTAAGTTCCGTTTCAAATTATAAACGAATTGCAGATTTGGCAAACCCAAACGGGCAACATTTTGAACACTTATTGAAACAAAAAGTGATATTTTCGTGTGTTTTTGTTTTATATCTGAACAAATTAAGATACATTTTCTAAGTTTCTCGAAAAGGAATCGAATGATTTAAAAAAATTAAACGCTAAAATAAAGGACTTCGAAAAACCTGTCAAACAAGCTATTACTCGATACCCCTTGTCATTTAAAATGTTTAAGGGAATAACCCTGGGGGTTGAGGGTGAAAGGAGGTGAAGTAGTTTTTGGTTAAAAAGTTGTCCCCCTTGACAAATCTTTTGACGTGTCTCGGCGTTTTTTCTTTTAATCAGTGATGGGAAGTTTTCAAATGAACACCCCGTTTAAAAGAAAAACCCAAAGAAGGACAACAGCAGATAAAGTGGGAAATACAAGAAACAAAAACTTAGAACTCAGTTAGGTTACTTCTTTTTATTATTGAAATTCGCCAAATACCTTTACGCGATAATCGAATCAATTTTCCAAAGTTACGTCATTAGTAACAATTTCATAAAAAGGACTGCAGATGAAAATATCTTATCGAGATCCGATAAAAATAGTTATAAAAGACATAAGAAATCTTATTTGGAAATCCAATAAAATTCTTCTTCAAATCGCTGTCCATATTTATACGTAATCAATATAATACGATGTAGCGAAAAGTTCATCATTTCAACATCAAAGAAGCATCATGTGGTGTCACTTAAGAATTTCTCAATTTAACACTTATTATATTTACTTATTGTCAGTCCGTTGTAAAATAAAATAATAATGTCTTTTTACAAAAGGCCGTTTCAAATGAAGTATCGATCGCCGATGATAAAAGATACGCTGAAAAACAATAAAATTAGTTTTTTGTCGTGGCTTCAACAGTGCACCTTTGGACAACCACGAAGTCATGAGCGTGCTCAACAATAGGGTCCCAAAGAAAAGAATGTTTTAGATCGGGAATTTATTTATTTATTTATTTATTAAAAACATTGTATAAGAATGGCAAACATTTTCAACTTCAATCTAAAAAATCTATGTCCACCAAGAAAACCGCATATATCATAAAAATTCTTCGACAGTATAAAACCTACTTGCAATTAAATAGTATTTTAAGAAATTCTTAAAAGTCTTTAGATTGTGACAATTCTTAATTTCCAAACGGCAGTAGGTTAAAAATGTTTAGACCATTAATGTTTGGGGACATAATTTGAGTTCTTTAGGGTGGTATATAGTCTTCCCTAATTCTTGTATCAATTGAATGCACTTGGCCGTGTTTTGGAAATTTGTCTCTATTTAAAAAAGTATATATAATCTGCAGTTTTTTCCCCCAAAATTGCAGTTCGATAATTTTTAATTTCTTCGGGTGTTAACACGTAACTATGTTTTCCGTCGTTACCAACATACCCAATGTAACCGTCCGTTTGGTTGTATAATTGGAACAAGTACTCTCATCCACGCTTTCGTTTTGAAACACCATTTGGCTGCAACCTCAGCGACGACTCCTGATGATGGCACCATAGCGTGCCGAACGCTCGAGATTACCGTTAAAAGAGTTTAAAGAGTTTAAAGCCTAAAATTTTGACAATTTCCCAAATGATAATTAATTGTCCAACTGGTGGTTTGCAATGGCAATTAGTACTGCTCGCATATATATATATATATATATATATATATATATTATATCCTTTAATTTCTTTGGGTAGAAGGCAAAGTACTGCAAAAGTACACTCTTATAACTTAAACTCTCAAGCTTTCGAAGATCTATGTCTTCATCGTCTGACCTGTCCGGTACGTGTTGGATAATGTGGAGGTTATCAGTGAAAAAAAGATGAAATCTCGAAGGAGTTTTCAATATCTAATAGTTTTAAAATCTCCAAATTTCGTCCAAAATCAATCAACGTTTAATTAAAAAAGCCTTTCAAAATGATTTGCCATTCAATAATAAAATAATTCCGTCCTAATCGAACCTCGTCAGTCCAGTTTTTTATTCGTCGACTATGTGTTCCCTTCACTGTTGCTTAAAAACAATTTCAGCAACAATCTCGCTGACTTACTCCAGACGATGAAGACACAGATCTTCGAAAGCTTGAGAGTTTAAGTTATAAGCGTGCACTTTTGCAATACTTTGTTTTCTACCCAAAGAAATTAAAGAAGAACATTCCATAGATTTGTACTTTTTCAACAACATCGAGGTACAATTTGGGCTATGCACTGTCAGACTGATGAAGGACTGGATAAGGTGTAGGAAACGATTAGCACACGAAACCAATAGACGAATCTTCTTGATCAAATGCAGGAAAAATCCATCTCACATCACCCATAGACTAACATCGATTAATCTCATTATACACAATCATTTGGCAGAAGATGGGATTAACACACCGATTGAAAGGTTAGGAGATAAGATATTAACACTTGAGATTTCCTCTTGTCACAAACAGTTAAAAACCTCTCTAAAATCATTAAAACATAATATAATTTCTTCTACAAATCTTCAAATTTTCAATAATTTTGAATCTAGAAAATTAAGACATTACAACACCCTGTTCCATTACATTAAAAATTCTAATATTCGCAAGTTTAACAAATTGCTGGATGATTCTATAAGAATTTTGCTTAAGACTCAACCAAACTGGGTAAAAAACCTTAGTAACATCGACATTCCCAACAACATTACCAAATTTCTTTCACTAGGTCCAAAATTTAGTGTTGAACCTATCGTTGGCAAGGACATCCCAATCAGATCCATTCTAGCTGATGTGGACATTATAGCCTCCTCCATTAATGACGAAACAAATAGGCACATTTTCAAAACTCGTTCCACGAATATCATTACAAACTTTTACCACAACAATAACACAAAAAAGAGAAATTCCTTCTATCACAACTTGTTGAATAAAACTAAAAAAATCCTCAATGAACACCCCGAATTAATGGTTACACGATCTGACAATGGAAATGTCACGGTTATAATGTTCAAACAACAATATTTCGATCTATGCAACAACTTAATTGATAATGATCCTTACTATAAATTAATGAATTGAGACCCCACATCAAGAGTGGAAAAAAGGTTGTAATGACATTGTTAGCGAGCTTTTCAACACTGGACAAATAAACCAAGACCAGAAAAGATCACTAACCACATACCACTCAGTCTCACCTAAATTTTATGCCCTGCCTAAAATACATAAACCAACACTGTCAGTAAGAACTATAGTAGCATCAATCGGATCGGCCACGCAGGCTTTATATATAATATAATATAATATAATAAGTTTATTGCAAAAGAAAAAGTATAGCAGTAGTAGATGAAAGACAATATTATGCAATAAACGAATGGACCCAAAAAAGTTTCGCAGAAACTTGTGCTTGGGCATGAGCTCATGTATAAATTACTTAAGACTAAAAAAAAAAAAACATAAAAAAATATATGTATATAAAATTCATTAGACAAGTCCTGGTAAAATTTTTAAAAAGACACAATCGGGACGGAGACGCAAAATCGGAACGTAGACACAATCGAGATAGAGACAATATTGAAACAAAAGGCAATATTAGGTGAATAGACAAGAACAAAAATTGGTAAAAATAAGTCATAAAATGCAGTAATTCAGGGGGTAAGAATTCAAACAGTTTGGTTTATACATTTTTTTTTTCATTTTGAACTTTCAAATATCTAGAGAGATTTCCGCTTTCAGTAGTAGTAGATATTTTTGATATCAATCGCTTGATGAATCTTGAGCCTGTGCTGGTCCAAAATCCACAGTCGTAGATGCCTTTTCATAACCTTTGTATTTTTAATATCTTTTATCTGATGGGGGATTAAGTTATATATTTTTGGTCCTAGGAAAGTGAAACTCCTCTGACCTATGGTCTTTTTAGGCTTTGGTATGCGTACTGAATGATCTTTGGATCTGGTGTGATGGTCATGTGGGAGGAAATTTAATAAATGCTTATGTTTTGTAATATATGTGAACACACTCTCAAAATAGAGTTGCCTACAATCACATATCTTGGATACCTTATATATCATATCGGTTGGATATGTGTTAGTTTTGCGGAACATGATTTTAAGAATCCATTTCTGCGTTATTTCTAGTTTCCTGTAGTATTTATTCAACACCGGTCCCCATGCCAAAATTCCATAAGTTAACAACGGTTGTACTAACGTTTTGTATATGGTGCATAAGTCTTTATCAGAAAGAATTTCCCTAAAAAATTTAAATTTTGGTATAAGACATCTTAATCTCTTCGTTAAGCTTTCTATTTGTTTGTCCCATTTTAGGTGGCTGTCTATTATGATTCCTAGGTATTTTATATGATTTGCTGGCTTTAGGACCACTACTTCATCTATGGGTGGTAATTTGATGTGTATGTTAGTGAATGTGGGACTGTTCCTATCATCACATGAAAAATTCAGATATAAAGTTTTTTCATAATCCTCGTTAATTTCAGATATACTCAAGTCAGCCCACATTACAGGTGAATACTACATCAAAGGCTCCTTTGATGTATCCCAACAATTTAACAGGTTGCAAATACCACCGGGACATGTGATCGCAAGTCTAGACGTGGTATCACTATTCAGTAATGTGTACTTAGAAGCTTGTATCAGATCCATTCACAAACATTGGGATATAATAGGTCAGCACTGTAATCTAACTCTGGAATCATTGATCACCATCTTAGAATATCTTTTTGACAACAATTATTTCACTTTTAACAATAAAACCTATTCACAAACACATGGTTGCCCAATGGGATCAGTGTTATCACCAATTTTAGCAGACTATGTAATGGATGACCTGCTTGATATTGTCATTCAGGTATTGCCTTTTCTCCATCAAAAAATACGTAGATGACATAATTGTTTGCCTACCGTTTGAAGGTTTGGACGATATTGTAGATGTTTTAACAGCTATGACCACTACATTCAATTCGCCATAGAAAAAGATGATAATCAATCTGTTCCTTTCCTGCACTCAAAAATCATCCGAAATAACAATATCTTAATGGTAGACTGGTACATGAAGCCTATGGCATTAGGCAGATTTCTGAATTTCAGATCCTACCACAAACTTAAGATAAACATAAATCTGGTGAAACGAATGAAAACAAAACTTTCCATCTTTCAAACTTACGCAAACTCTCAACGCTTTTCACAAATAATGGTTATCCAAAATACCTGACAAACAAAATCTTGTTCTTGTTCACATAACAATGATAACAACAATCCCAATAACAATGATAATCCTCCTAATGATGCAGATATTCCATCAATTTCCAGAACTAGTTTTGCAATACTACCATATATTAAAGATCTAACACCAAAACTTTCTAGATTGTGCAACACTTTAAACTGTCGCATTGCTTACAAATCCTCACTGACAGTCACCAATGTTTTCTCCAAAATGAAAGATAGAGTTCCTCTGCTTGGCCTATCCAACATTGTCTACTCCATCAATTGCAATAACTACAATCTCACATACATAGGTCAAACCTCAAGATCCCTTAAAGGTAGAATAACCTCATATAAAAGTGATGCCAGACTGCATCCAGAAAGATGTGCTCTAGCTTCACACGTGAACTCCACAGGGCATCAAATGGGATACAATGATATCAAGGTGCTGGACAGAGAAAATCATCTATCAAAACGCCTGTTTTTGGAAATGTCACATATCTTTAGGACAGACAATTGCATGAACAAAAAAGCGGATGTCAATCAACTTAGCGTCGTCTACGCATATTTGCCGAACTACGAAAAATTGGAAAAGCAACACATCTACCCCAACATCGATTTGTCCCAATAATCGCCTAATCTACACAAAATAATTTTTCACTATCTTAATAAAATCAAATTTAAATTGCTCACACTTTTTGTCCTCAAGTGTGAATATTCTCTACGTATATTTTTAGTTGTTTTTGGTAGGATAACATCCAAATCACATTCCTTCCAATGCTACTTTTATCGGGTTTTGAAAATTTCTTCGTACTTCATCGGTCAACAGTAGCGCATACTCTTGCACTATATATTACAAAATGCCATACTACTCGTATTAGGCAACACACTTCACAGAACGACATAATAGGTGACTTTCCAATAATTTTCAATGTCACACTTCATACGCCGCTGTTGAATGTCAGTCGGTCGGCACGTGTTGGATAATGTGGAGGTTATCAGTGAAAAGAAGATGAAATCTCGGGCGAATTTTCAATACTTGATAGCTTTAAAACCTCCAGATTTCTCCCAAAATCAATCAACGCTTATTTTTTAAAAAACCTTTCAAAATGATTTGCCATTTAATAATAAAATAATTCCGTCCTAATCGAACCTCATCAGTCCAGTTTTTTATTCGACGATTATGTGTTCCCTTCACTGTTGTTTTAAAAACAATTTCAGCGACAATCTCGCCGACTTAGTAAGTAAATATTTTTCTACTAATTGCTATTTGTTGCTATTGTTAATAATTGTTTCCAGCTCCAGACGATGAAGACATAGATCTCCGAAAGCTTGAGAGTTTAAATTATAAGAGTGTACTTTTGCAATACTTTGCCTTCTACCCAAAGAAATTAAAGGATAGATATATATATACAGGGTGACTTCGAAGTTGAGTCATTTATTTTAACAGTGAGTAGATCTGATCAAAACAAATGTTTTTTTCCTTTACCATTTTTCTGGTAAAATTAAAGTAACAAAGTTATAGCCCTTTGGAAGTTTGAGTACCGCCCTGCCTATTATACGTATGCTCGTGTTTGGCGACAACGGATATAATCCGCCTGACCGGTTCATCGCATCGGAAACAAAAAGCGAAAGAATTTGAAACGTTTATCACGATGTTTTTCGTCAGTCGATAACGCGTAAGTGAATAGTAGTGTGTTGCGTGGTTCAAACGAAATCAAAAATGACACATGTTTACGAAAATGCTGAACTTGTGGACATGATTCTTATTTACGGGGGGGCAGTCTTTACAAAATGCTCCCGGATACATCACGGATTTACGCGAATCGGTTTCCCAATCGAGTGCAACCAACCCCTCGTGCCTTTGTTAATGTAGTACAAAGGGCTCGTGAATCAGGTGACTTAAGACCTCACAGGTGAGGGCATGCTGCTCCAAGACCGCACGATCAAATACAGGTCCGCACTGAAGTACTTGTCGGGAGGATACTTTATTAAACAAGGTAACATTTTTTTTTATTTTTTTTTTATTTTTACACACATATTTTGGTTTATCTTCCTTCTACAATCATTATCTGAAAATTAATGACTCAACTTCAAAGTCACCCTGTATATATATATATATAGATAGATATAGATATTGTACAAACAAGTCTCCAATATGTTTTTTGTTTGCGAGGAAGGATCACAACCATTCTAAAGGCTGATTTTTATGGCATAACACTCTAGCATATCTAGAATAATATCATATTCGACACAGTCGAAAGCCCTGCTGTCCTGCTGACCTCAACGAGGCAATCCCATACATCAACGAAGAGCACAGCTTCATCATAAAAAGTATGGAAGTATGGAGTTTGTGGGTCTACTAGCCTGAAAACCATGCTGTCGCCTGTTTTCCTCAATAAACTTCAGCAGGCAACATAAAATGTTAACCCTTCCCTCATCGGTTTTATATCAATTTTCTATGTATGTTTTTAATAAATAAATCTTATAAAACCATGATTTGAATGTAGCTTTTGCTAAATACAGTTCTATTATGAAATCGTCCGATGTACTGGGACCTAAAGAATCTAATAGGATATCAACAGATATTAAGGAATGCTTCAGCATCAATCGGTTTAAATTATAATTGTTATTTTGTTTGATGTTCGTCTTATACATGAACTTCTTGAATTTTAATTTTAATTTGAAAAGTCCTAACCCAGTCATCTTAAAATTGCAATATGACTTCACGCAATATTGGATTCAAAATGGCGGTATTCAATTCATGTTGTATTGTCACCAAACCAATATATGAAATTTTAATTCCATTGGATAATGCTAATTGGTTCAAAATTCAGTTTCAAGATTGGTCCCACACATACTGACATACTAACGTTCTAACATATATACCAATAGGACAAGTTAAATAACAGCTTGTAGAAACAGAAACTCTCGATGATATTTTATATTTTCTCAAGTTAATATCTCTGGTGTTTGACATGCTGGAAATTACTCAAAATGTTTGGTACAAACGAAGTTAAGTTTTATCCACGTTACGTCCATGAAGTGTTTCAACAAATTAATGTTTTTACACGGTTACAACTCAATCGATCGTTGTTGTTGGTCACAGGCACGGCCTATGGGCTGTGAGAAAGGAAATGCTATAAGAACCTGCATTATCTACGGTTAAGTACCTGGCGACAAAAAAGTTAATCATTAAAGGTACAGAAATTTATTGTGACTTTTGACAAAGAAGAGATACGCTGAAAAGGCAACATTGAAAGTAATGGGAACTTAACTAAAAGAATTTTTATGTTATAAATATTCGCATTCTCGAATACACAGATGCTTCTCGATATTTGCATTCACATCCACATTCGCAAAATCCATACAAGTATTTTGTGAATATGAATATTAGGAAAAAAGAATATTAAAATTATATTACGTACTTGAATTAAACAAGAGGTATCAGTTCATTTTTTGCCAGAAAAGCATATTGCACGTAAACAAAATAAACTTAACCTAAACGCTGGAAGTGAAGACGAATCTCACTCAGCTGAGGTTAATTTAATTGAGTTTTGTAAAAAGGACGTGTAGTGAACCGAGCAAGCTGAAGTGAGATTGTGTGTAAAACGAATCCAGCTATAATTATGAAATAACTTCGAACAGACAAAAATATGTTTTTTTATACTTTTATCAGTCTTTGATTTATAGAATATTTTACAAATAAAAACGGCAATTCTTTCCTTATCAAACTTGTGGTAAGAATGAAATGTTTTTTACAAACTAGAATCTTATTTCCTTTTTTCTTATTTTTATAAACAGCAGTTCAATAATCATGCTGAGTTAGAGGAATATCAAACTTCAAAAGTGAGTGCTTCGCGGTGTGCTCTTCTTCAAGTATGTCTTGATGTGGTGTATAGAGAATAAAAGCTGAGCATTCGTATTCGAATTCACGAATATTGGCAGTAGATATTCGCATCCGCATTCGGCAGTAAGTATATATTCGCATTCGGGAATGCCTAAAAATTGACATTCCTTAAATCCCTAATTCCTAATTATTATTTCACCAAAAAATCATATATATAATGTGGCCCTACCTCTAGTACATCAAAAAATAACAAAGTTATATAGGTCCATTATCAAGATACAGGGTGTTATAGATTTCTACCCCACTGATGAGACTGCATAAGGACAAAACACGATCATTGTGTAATTAATGGAAAGTTAGGATACTCTCCTAATACTTTATATACAATCCTTGATATGAAACTTCACTAACTTCTGCGTATTCTCAGAGTAGATCAAATTGAATTCCTTTATACCGATTTCATACCAAACATCCAAACCAATCTTCCTCCAAAGATAGGTAGCCAGAAAACACTTCGACGATTTATATACAATTAATTACCTTAA